ACCCCCTGCCCCAGCCTACTGCTGCAACGCCCTGGACGGGCGATGGTACAGCTACGACGACAGCAGGGTGGAGGGGGTGCAGGAGGCAGAGGTGAGCACCCGCAGCGCCTACATCCTCTTCTACCAGCGCCGCAACGCCGTGCCCGCATGGTCGGCCGGCAGCTCCGTCAGGGGTGAGCACCCCCACCTCCCTGCCCACCTGCGCCCCGATAGCGCCCGGGCACCCCGAGGCCACTGCCCCGGGCACACATGGCACGGCCGAGTGCACCCACGGGCACACACAGTATGGTACGTGCACGTGCAGCAGGGCCAAATGCATGTGCGTTCAGCACATGCACACGCGGTGTGGGGGGTGCGCACAGAGCACAGCTGCATGCGTGCTCACACACATGCAGAGCACTAATGCATGTGCACACAGTATGCTGTGTGCGCACAGCACAGCTGCGTACGCACGCATGCACATGGACACGCATGCGCACCCGTGCATGGACAGTACAGCAGGCAGGCACACACACAGCATAGCCAAGTGTGCACGTGTGCAGTGTTGTGCACACGCAGCGCGGCCACGTGCACACCCTTGCACACATGTGCATGAACAGGCACACATGCACGCAGTCACACAGCCCAGCCGAGGGCACACAGTGCATGCAGGTGCACAGTGTGGTGGGCACGCAGTCGCACGGCACAGCTGGCGTGTGCAGCATCGCAGGTGCGCACGCACCCGCGTGCTTGAAACTGCAGCCACGCAGCACACGGCATGGCGTGCTCACGCTTGCCACGCGCTTGTGCACACGCATGTGCGCATGTGCACACGCAGATGCACACACAGCTGGTTGCAGCCCCGTGCTCCCCCATTGCTGAGCACCCCTGGGTGCTGCAGCAGCGACCGTCCCGGGGTGCGGGCACGGCGGGACCCCTTGCCCCGCAGCCCGGCCCAGCCTCCCGCTCCCCACAGGCTCCACTGCCTCCTCGCTCTCAGGTCACTGGCTGGCCCGCCTGGGCGGCAGCACACAGGACACCACGGCCTCGCGTCCCTCGGCCACCCGGCTCTCCCTGCCCGGCACCCTCGATGCCACCGCCACCCCGGAGAAACGGGATTATTATCACGCCAG